GGAGGAAGAGGAGGAGGGACGAGGACTGGAACAAAAACACACCGCCCCGTCGGAGGCCCGCGCCGGATCCCTCAGATCGGCACTGGGCCCCCCCCGCCCAAGGCCCGCGCCGCGGCGCTGGAGGCGCGGGGGGCGGGGGGGGCCAGCGCCGATCCGCGGAGGCCGCGCGGAGGCCGCGCGGAGCTCCGAGCGGGCGGTGTGTTTTTATTCCAGTTCTCCTCCCTCCTCCTCCTCTCCTCCTCCTCCTCCTACTCCTCATCCTCCTCCTCCTTTCCCTCTCCTCCTCCTCCTCCTCCTCCCCTCCTCCTCCCCTCCTCCTCATCCTCCTCCCTCCTCCTCCTCCTCCTCCTCCTCCTCCTCCTCCTCCCCTCGTGCTTTGTTGCTCCGAGCACTGATGTCTTTGTTGCTGGTGCATGCCGACTGCTGTTCCTGCTCGGCTGAGGCACGATGCCGCGACGAGACTGAGGTGAGCACCGGTCCGATGCTCCTCGGACCTCGGAGAGTCCCTGGCGTCCCGGCGCTTTCGCGAGGTGGCTCCCCCGAGGCCTCGAGCCCTGCTTGGGGGCCAGCCCTCTGCATCCTGAACCATGCTATGGCAGCAGTCGGGCCCAGCGAGGGTCCCCAGAAGTCGAAATCCCACAGGCCCTTTAAGGCGTGAGTGGTTCAGCGAGCTTCTTCTTCTTCCACCCCCCCCTCTTCTCCTTCGGTGAAGGGTTTATCTCTGTTCTTGATTAGTACACACACCCTCCCCCACCCGACTTTGGGCCAACCTGGGACATGCCACCCCCCACCCCCACCATCCCTGTCAAAGTGGCCTGGCGAAGGACCCAACCAGATGTTGTTGTGAATACCGACGTTGTTGGCACCGCATTCGGAGGAGCTCCCTGTGGAGCCACGAAACGTGCGGCGGGCGCATGCGAACGCTGGCATTTGGGCCTTTGGTGGGGCCAAAATGTGTGGAGGGCGCATGCGAGCGCTGGCATTTTGGCCTTTGGTGGGGCTCCATATGGAGCCACGAAACGTGTGAGGGGTGTGCCAAAATGGGCGCGGCGGGCGCATGCGAACGCTGACGTGTGGGCCTTCCGCGGGGCTCCCTAATTATGGGGCCACGAACGTGTGAGGGGTGCGCAAGAATGGGCGCGACGGGCGCATGCGAACGCTGGTATTTGGGCCTTCGGTGGGGCTCGCTATGGAGCCACGAAGCGTGTGAGGAGTGTGCCAAAATGGGTGCTGCGGGCGCATGCGAACACTTGCATTTGGGCCTTCGGTGGGGCTCCCTATGGGGCCACGAGACGTGTGAGGGGTGTGCCAAAATGGGTGCGGCGGGCGCATGCGAACGCTGGCATTTGGGCCTTCCGTGGGGCTCCCTATGGAGCCACGAAACGTGTGAGGGGTGTTCCGAAACAGGGACATGCGGAGGGCATGGGCGAGGAGGGGAAGGAGGGAGGGGGAGGGGGAGGAGGGGGAGGAGGAACGCGGGGACCGTTTCTTCAAAACTAGGACCCAACACCACAGGGTGGTTGGGAAAACAATACAGAATGCACTCTGCCTCGAAATCTCGATCGTGCGCGGGCGCCCCGCGACTACTCTGCATTGGCGCAAGGGGTTTTCACAAGGACGGCGGGAGTGCCGGCATGCTGTTTGTTGCGCACAAGCTACGAGCAAGTCGACCGCCCTTGTCCAAAAAAATACAGGATGCACTTTGCCTTCGAATCAGGGGCATGCGCGGGCGCCCCGCGACCACTCTACACTGGTTTCTGACAGGGGTGGCGGGGGTGCCGGCATATTGCTTGATGCGCGCAGGCCAACCACCCGCGCCAAAAACCAAGACAGGATCTGACCGGCGACGGCTGTGCAATGGCGTTGTGGATGCCATGAGAATGGACACTCTAACAATCCTATCATTGAATTAAAAATGTGTTTAAAATGTGTAAAGCATGTTCTAAAAAGTGTTTCAAACATGTTTTTACATATTGAACCATGTTTGAAACATTTTTTGACATCTGGAAATTATTTAATCGCTTCGCTCATTCCGCCCGCCCTCGAGCGCTCTATGAAGCCTCTTTGAAGCCTCTTGGGGGCCTCTTTGGGGCCTCCTAGGGGCCTCTTGGGGGCCTCTTGGGGGTCTCTTGGGGCTTCTTGGCGGCGTCTTGGGGCCCCCTTGGGCCTCTTGGGGGGCTCTTGGGGGCCTCTTGGGGCGAGGTAGTCGAGTGCACCCCCCTCGGAGGCCACAATCCTCGTGAGGGGTGTCGAAAAAAAGGCTCTCAAACCCATCTCTGAATAGACCTTCCCGGGCTGCGGTCGGGGTACTTTTCGCCGGGGGACCCCCAGGGGCCGCCCCGCGCGCGCGAACTAGAAGAATTGTTAACCAATTACCGGAGATCTTAGCACGCCTCTGGCCCGTTGGGCCGGCAAATTTGGCAGCATGCTTCCTCTCCATCGATCGTCCTCCACAACAATGGCGCACCTCGCACACGCTGCGCGCGCGCCGAGCGCGCCGAGCGCACCTGGCGCGGCCGGCGCACCTTAGCGCACCTCGGCGCCCGTGGAGCACGTGCGCCGGCCCTGCTGCGCCTCGCACGCCGGGGCCTCCTGGGTGCCTGGATGAGGTGGAGGAGGAGGAGGAGGAGGAGGAGGAGGAGGAGGAGGAGGAGGAGGGAGGAGGAGGAGGAGGAGGAGGAGGAGCAGGGAGGAGGAGGAGGAGGAGGAGGAGGGAGGAGGAGGAGGAGGAGGAGGAGGAGGAGGAGGAGGACCAGAACCCGTGGCGCACATGGCATGCGTGGCGCTCCTCGGCAGTGCGCTGAGACTCGGGTACTACCTAGGCGGGTGGGAGTGAGCGCGACGGCTTGCGGTCTTGGGGGGGCCTCGACCCAGCCCCTCACTCCTCGCCCTCCTCCTGGGTCCGGAGGGGGGAGGCTCGCGAGGTACCAGAGCGTCCAAGATGGCCTCGCCGAGGAAGCCAAGATCACTGATTGTGCTAAGGTTTTGGCCACATGTTGGCCTCCTGGGGCGGGTGACCCGAATGGGGGAGCCCCCCTCCTTTGATCGATCTCCTCCGCGATGGCCCCAAGATGGCCCCCGAGGCTCCCAAGGGTGCCCCAAGACGGCCCCAGGTGGTGCCCAGGAGGTGCCCAGGAGGCCCCGAGAGGCCCCCAAGAGGCGCCCAAGATGCCCCCACGAGGCTCCAGGAAAACATTATCTTCACACGCCGCTCATAAGAAGATCAAATCTCACATGCTACGTTTTGGATGATCATTCTGGGGACCTTCCTGGAGACACTCGCTCCACTCGTGCGTCGAAGCTGCGTCGAACGTCCGTCGATGTGAGTCGATCCTGAGTCGAACTGGAGTCAAATTTGAGTCGGACTTGAATCGAACTGGAGTCGAACTGGGGTCGAACTAAAGTCGAACAGATCTGTCAGGTGGGCCCCAGGAAGGTTCCCAAAACAAGCATCTAATATGTCTGTATATGATTATTGTTCCCGACGCTCGGCGCGAGCCAGCCTCCCACAGGCACAAGCGAGCTCATGCGAGTACACAAACCCGCGAATCTCCCCGCGGACAGGATTCACCCAGCCACGGGGAACGCCGCTTGAGCGAGCGTCGCAGAAGGTCGCAGGAGGTCACTTCAAATTCTTCAAACTTCCACTCAGCCAACGCGTTAGTGCGAGCAACGCGAGCGAGGATGCGCCGACAGAGCTGAACGTCCAGGGACGCTCAATCCTTCCATGCGGACGCCCTTTGCAGAAACAAGCGGGGGCCGAAGGCCTCTAGAAGGATGGAGAAGGAGAAGGCAAAGGAAGTCTAGGATGGAGAAGGGCGTACATGGGGGGGCTCGACCACACGAAACCCTCCACAAGAAACCCAACCCTGAGACCCCAGGACGTCCACTGATTTTGGGTGTGGGCACGTCACGCATTCCATAGCCCTGGAAGCAAGCAGCGTGCTTCTTGGCATGGGTTTCCACTGTATCAGATATCTCGTGTTAGATCCGGCGTGTCCCCCTACAGGCGGATCTTGGACGAACTATAAAAACATCGAAACCACAAATACTCCCAAAAATCGTAAAAGATGCTCCAAAAATCGTCCCCCGGCTATTTTGGGACAGTGTTTGAGTATTCCTCCTGTCGGGAGCGGCCAAGAGGGGGGTGTCCAAGAGGGGGGGGTGCAAATCATGGCCGGCGGCACGTGCGCGGCCCAGCGGGGGGGCCAGGGACGTAATGAAATGAGAAGAGGCGCCATGAGATCTGGGGAAATATCATGGCCCCCACCATGATATCCACCCCCCCCCCTAGTCATCACCCCCCTCTTTCCAACCCCGGATCCTGTGGAGGGACGCGCCCGACTTTTCAAACCTCGCGAGAGGCGCCGGGACGGCGGCCTAAAACCAGCGGTGGACAAACCTCACTTTAGTAGACCTCCCCTTAGTGAAAACGGCCTGGGACCGAAACCGACGGACCTGGACCCGCAAAAATGACGGCCGCGACGCTCTCTCGCGATCCGAAAACGGCCAATTCCTGAATCGACGTGTCAGGGTAGGAGGTCTGTCCGACCCCGATGAAATCGCAGAGCCCCGCGGGCGGCGCCCGCGCGGCGCAGGCCCGCCGCGGCGCGCACCCAGCAGCACGCCCAGCGGCGCGCGAGCGCGGCGGCCCCCCCCCCGGGGGCGCTCCGGCGCTGGGCCGGAGGCACGTCACGCCACGCAGTCAAGTCGGGCGTGTCCCCCTGCAGGGGGATTGTCGACGAAACATACACCAGATTTCACAATAAAAGGGAGGTGGTCTGATTTGGGATGGGGTCAGATTCGAGCTGTCTTGGAGGGTTCCAGTGGGTCTGGGCAAAAGGCCGCCCTTCATGGCTTGTTTGGGGGGGTCTGGAATTGCCCGCCTGTGAGGGTTGTGACCCCCTCCCTTTTATGGCGAAATCTGGAGTACAAAATGCTCCAAAAATACGCCTGGTCAAAACAAAAGAAATAGCCAAAACATAGTCCCCATACTATGTTTTGACAATTCTTGAATATTGTCCCCCTGCAGAGGGACAGGCCCGATTTCATCATGCAGGGGTCCATCGGCGGCGAGCGGGTCCGAAGTTCGAGGCCCTCGGACGTCTTCATCGGTTCCCGGCGGCTGTGCAGCCTCTGGGTGCCTTCGGCGGCTGCGCCTCGCCGAGAGCGCTCCGAAGGAGCCGGGATCGCCCCGGACGGCCGTTGAGGAGCCGATTCATGACCCACAAGCTACTCCGGATTCCATCAGAAAGTCGGGGAGGTCACATTTGGGGGGGGGTCTGATTTGAGCTGTCTTGGAGGGAACGGGGGGGGTCTGGACAAATGGCCGCTCTTTCATGGATGGTCTGGGGGGGCCTGAAACTTCTCGTCTGGGAGGGTTGTGACCCCCTCCCTTTTATTTCGAATTCTGGAGTAAGTTCGGCGGCGCGCCTGGGGGGGAAGCGAGAAGGAGAAGACCTTCTCAGAGCTGAAGGCGGCGGGACTTCCCAGGAGCCCCTCGCGCCTCCTGAGAAGCTTGTGTCCGTCTTCGGGAAAGGCGCGGAAAGCCTCTCAGAAGGCCAGGGGACGTCCGAACCTTCTGAGAAGGCCCTGTCCTTCTCGCTTCGCCCGCTCGCTCGCCGCCGCGTCAAAGCTCACGCGCTGTCACGCCCGCAGGCGGAGCACGATCGGGGGCTGTTTTGCACTGCTCTGTTTCACCCGAAGCGGGGAAGCACACCCGGGGAGACGCACAGCTGCCCCACCTGCGACGCCGAAGCCCCGCAAGTGTGCCACAGCCCCGCGGCTCCCTGTGGTGCGCAGGCCTCCTGGGGGCCAGCACCTGCCACACGATCCGGCGCCAGCGACAGCACGGAGCACAGTCGGGGAGGAGGTGCAGGAGGAAGGAGGAGAATCGGGACGGAGATGGAGGAGGAGAGGGCACCTGGTGAGGATGGAGGAGGCGGATGGCGGAGGATGGAGCTGGGAAGACAGCTTCAGGAGATGGATATGGAGGAGGAAGATGGAGCTGGGAGGACAGCTTCAGGAGATGGAGATGGAGGAGGAAGATATGGAGCTGGGAAGGCAGCTTCAAAAGAAAACAGGACCGCAGGCTGCGAAGCTGACCGGGATATTCTCGACCGGTCACGCGGACATGTGGATGTCGTCGAGCACCAGATGAGCTGATGAACTGGGGTTTCCGATGCCTCTCTGGGGCGCCGCCCCGTTGAACGTTTTCTTATTTGACGTTTCGACATTGGGCGGAAAGTAGGGGGGAGGGGGGGGTCTGGCTCTGGACCTCTGATTACTGCGACTGTTTGCAACAGTGCGTCCTGCGGGGGGGACTCCACCTTCTTGAGACAAACGCCAAAAACAGCCAAGATACACTACTCTGGGGGTGGGAGCGGGTGAGCGGGCCCGCGCCGATCGGCAAAACAACGAATGAGAAAACGAACACAAGTGCGAGCAGATCTGGCGAGCAGGGCTTCGCCACCCTCTGAGTTTGTTTGTTCTTTTATCGCGTGCATTTCCATGCAGATGCAATGTTTCTGCATATTGTTCCTTGTACGTGTTGTCAAAAGTTGTTTCCTAAATTTGCCATGGGCATTGTTTAAAACACTTGTTTCACCAACAACCCTGAGGCGTTCGGTCCCGGTCCTCGTTTTCAAGAGACGGTCCCCGCGTTCACTCCTCATCCTCCCGATGCCCCCCCCTCCATTTCTCATCATCATCATCATCATCATCATCATCATCATCATCATCATCATCATCATCATCATCAGCATCAGCATATCATCATCATCATCATCATCATCATCATCATCATCATCATCATCATCATCATCATCATCATCATCATCATCATCATTCATCATCATCGTCATCATCATCATCATCATCATCATCATCATCATCATCATCATCGTCATCATCATCATCCTCATCATCCTCATCCTCCTCCTCCTCCTCATCATCATCATGATCATCATCATCATCACCATCATCATCATCATCATCATCATCATCATCATCATCATCATCACCCTCCTCATCATCATCACCATCATCATCGTCATCACCCGTTTCAGCACACCCTCATAAAAAGTTCGACCAAAACTCCACATGCCGGCGTTCGCACGCGCCCACCGCACGGAGTATTGTTTTCGGCGGAGGTCCCTACGGAAGCACGACACGTGTAAGGAATGAACCGAAATGGACGCGGTGAGCGAATGCGAACGCATGCCACTGGGGTCTTCGGGGGAACCTCCTTTTATGCGGCCGCGGAACGTACGCAGGGCGTGCCGAAACAGGCGGGCCGCACGCATGCTAACACCGCCACTGGGGCCCTTCGCGAAGCTGCACATGGAGCGACGAAACGCGCGAGGGATGCACCGAAAATGGGCAGCGCGGACGCATGCGAACACCGCCACTGGAGCCTTCGGTGGCACTCCTGATGGTTCCATGAAAACTATGCGTGGTGAGAAAAAATGATGCAGGGCGGGCGCACGCGAACATCGCCACCGGGGCCTTCGGTGGAGTTCCCTACGGGGCCACGAAACGCGAGAGGGGCGTGCCGAAATGGGCGAGGCGGGCGCATGCGAAAGCTGCCACCAAAAGCAACCAGTGGAGCTCCGCAGGAGGCCACGAAACGTGCGAGGGGTGCGCCGACATGCTTGCGGCGGGCGCATACGAACGCAGCCATTGCGGCCTTCGGTGGAGCTCCCTATGCGGCCACGAAACGTGCGCAGCTCAGTTCAGTTCAGTTCAGTTCAGCCTGCGCGCCGGCTCCTGGAGGAGCGGTGCTCTGAAGGGCAGGCGGCACTCAACGCGTGAAACTACATGCGCTGCGCCAGCTCAGAACACTGCGCGCGCTGCTACAAACGATGCGCCCCACACTCTGCATCGACAACTACTTTGCATGAATTGCAGCAGTATCCCTCCAGCGAAGACGAGGCCGGCCAAGACGCCGTTCGGACAGGCATCTGACCCACGGGCTCCACCGGAGCAGTCTGCGAGTCCACTTTTGCGGGTCGTCGTGCGAAACTGCGTCTCTGAATTTGGTTTTCCGGGCCGCCTGCGTCACCTCCCAATTCTCGCACCCCGACAAAGCGCACTTGGTTTCGACATGTTCCGTGGCTTTTTTACCTAACAGCTTTTGCTGATAGGTTTCTGGTGGTGTCAAAAGAGAGCAGCAGATGACTCCACAGGGGGGTCGGGGCGGGACCCGGGGAGCTGTGTCCGAACTCGTGTCCGAATGCGTTTTTCTCAAACAGTCACACACTTCGTGCTCCTCGACCTCCCAGAACTCCATTCCCGGGCCACATTCTGAATGCTTGGAGCCAACTGTAGGCCACTTCGTGCTCTTCGACTTCCCAGAACTCCATTCCCGGGCCACATTGTGACTGCCCGGACCCAACTGTAGGCCAGTTCGTGCTCTTCGACTTCCCAGAACTCCACTCCTGGGCCACATTCTGAATGCCCGGAGCCAACTGTAGGCCACTTCTTGGTCTTCGAGTTCCCAGAACTCCATTGCTGGGCATGATTTTGAATGCCCGGAGCCAACTGTAGGCCACTTCGTGCTCTTCGAGTTCCAAGAATTCCATTCCCGGGCCACATTTTGAATGCTGGGGCAGGCTGAGGCTGAGGCTGAGGCAGGCTGAGGCTGAGGCAGGCCGAGGCTGAGGCCGAGGCTGAAGGCAGACTGAGGCTGAGGCTGAAGCAGGCTGAGGCTGAGGCAGAGGCAGGCTGAGGCTGAGGCAGGCTGATGCTGAGGCAGGCTGAGGCTGAGGCTGAGGCTGATGCAGGCTGAGGCTGAGGCAGGCTGAGGCTGAGGCCGAGGCTGAAGGCAGACTGAGGCTGAGGCTGAAGCAGGCTGAGGCTGAGGCTGAGGCTGAGGCTGAGGCTGAGGCTGAGGCTGAGGCTGAGGCTGAGGCTGAGGCTGAGGCTGGCAGGCTGAGGCTGAGGCTGAGGCTGATGCAGGCTGAGGCTGAGGCAGGCTGAGGCTGAGGCCGAGGCTGAAGGCAGACTGAGGCTGAGGCTGAAGCAGGCTGAGGCTGAGGCTGAGGCAGGCTGAGGCTGAGGCTGAGGCAGGCTGATGCTGAGGCAGGCTGAGGCTGAGGCTGAGGCTGATGCAGGCTGAGGCTGAGGCAGGCTGAGGCTGAGGCCGAGGCTGAAGGCAGATTGAGGCTGAGGCTGAAGCAGGCTGAGGCTGAGGCAGAGGCAGGCTGAGGCTGAGGCTGAGGCTGGCTGATGCTGAGGCTGGCTGATGCTGAGGCAGGCTGAGGCTGAGGCTGAGGCTGATGCAGGCTGAGGCTGAGGCAGGCTGAGGCTGAGGCCGAGGCTGAAGGCAGACTGAGGCTGAGGCTGAAGCAGGCTGAGGCTGAGGCTGAGGCAGGCTGAGGCTGAGGCTGAGGCAGGCTGATGCTGAGGCAGGCTGAGGCTGAGGCTGAGGCTGCAGGCTGAGGCTGAGGCAGGCGGAGGCTGAGGCCGAGGCTGAAGGCAGACTGAGGCTGAGGCTGAAGCAGGCTGAGGCTGAGGCTGAGGCAGGCTGAGGCTGAGGCTGAGGCAGGCTGAGGCTGAGGCTGAGGCTGAGGCAGGCTGAGGCTGAGGCAGGCTGAGGCTGAGGCCGAGGCTGAAGGCAGACTGAGGCTGAGGCTGAAGCAGGCTGAGGCTGAGGCTGAGGCAGGCTGAGGCTGAGGCTGAGGCAGGCTGATGCTGAGGCAGGCTGAGGCTGAGGCTGAGGCTGATGCAGGCTGAGGCTGAGGCAGGCTGAGGCTGAGGCCGAGGCTGAAGGCAGACTGAGGCTGAGGCTGAAGCAGGCTGAGGCTGAGGCTGAGAGGCAGGCTGAGGCTGAGGCTGAGGCAGGCTGAGGCTGAGGCTGAGGCAGGCTGAGGCTGAGGCCTGAGGCTGAAGGCAGACTGAGGCTGAGGCTGAAGCAGGCTGAGGCTGAGGCTGAGGCAGGCTGAGGCTGAGGCAGGCTGAGGCTGAGGCAGGCTGAGGCTGAGGCTGAGGCTGATGCAGGCTGAGGCTGAGGCAGGCTGAGGCTGAGGCCGAGGCTGAAGGCAGACTGAGGCTGAGGCTGAAGCAGGCTGAGGCTGAGGCTGAGGCAGGCTGAGGCTGAGGCAGGCTGAGGCTGAGGCTGAGGCAGGCTGAGGCTGAGGCTGTGACTGCGACTGCCGTTGCCACTGCGACTGTCATCGCGAATGCGACTACGACTGCGAGAACAGCAGAATTCTACAACTGGGTTCTCATCCGAATCTTAAGGGGAATGCTTCCAGATATGCTCCTACACATCGCTGTTAGGTTGCTTTGTCGGGATAATTATGTAATCCGCCAAAGCTTCAATTGCGTAGCACTTTTCGCCAAGCCGTCCGGAATATGCTGCCGAGGCTTGAAGGCATCGTCCAATTTCCACAAGCGCCGAGAGTTGTCGCGGCAACAACAGCATTGAACAACTGGAGTCGAGATTGCAAATGACACGACCGTAAACACAACATGTTTTCAAATTCGCGAAACACCTCCACGCGGCATTGACTGCATTCGAAAACTCTGTTTTGTGGACACTGCCCAAGCAAATCTGCCATCCCAGGTATCGTTCCGCGCCCGTGGGCGGCACCACTTCTACGTCAACGTCGTCAACTCGCACGTGCGCAAGTAATTGTCCGCAGCTGTCGGTGAGCACCTTCGTCTTTCCCACGTGCACCTTGAAGCCGTACTTTGCTGCTTGTGTCTGAAGATCATGAATCAGATCAACCAGCGTCGACTCCAAATAGATAGGAGGACAGGAGGAGAACGAAAGGAGGATGGGGGGAGGACGAAAAGAGGACAGGGGCAAGCTGGCAGGAGGACGGGAGGAACAAAATCAAGCAAGCAAGCGCAAGCGAGCAATGACAAGCAAGCAAGAGCCAGCGATCAAATGCAAGCAAGCAAGGGCAAGCAAGAGCAAGCAAGCGAGAGCAAGCACGCAAGAGCAAGCAAGCAAGTGCAAGTGAGCGTGCGATGATGGTGAAGAGGAAGCCATAGGAATCGTAAGAATCCGTAGGAATCCATAGGACCCGCCGTTGGAAATAGCTGCGGGGGTGTCGCTGGAAATAAAGGGGGGGGGGGGGGGCACTGGCAAAAGGGGGGGGAAGGAGGGGGGGCATTGGAAATAACGGGGGGGGCCATTGGAAAGAGGGGGGCGTTATAAAGCAAGCCTATTTGGAGAAGTGTCGTTGCGTTTGTTTTGCTGAAAGAGACAAGCAGAACGTCGCCCGCGAAGCGCAAGTTTGTAAGTGGCTCGCCTTGGGAGTCAATGACCATGCCGTAGAACTGCCCAACTCTCTTTTCGTTAAGCCCATGTCATCGGTACTTCAGTATGCGGAAGCACACCTCCATCACCGCGATGAAAAACAGAGCACTAATGGGTCCCCCCTGCTTCACACCACGCTGTCAATTGAAACATCTCGACTCCTCCCCTGCAATGACTACAGCTGTCTGGTTCCAGTAGAGTTTCTGCAAGAAGACCACGCATGCCTCGCTCAAGCCGAGGGTACGCAGTACATCCCACAGAGCCGGGTGCTCCACGGCATCGACAGTTTTTCAAAATCCGCCAAGCCAAGCCAACGATCTTCATTCCATTCTGCGCATCCTTCAACAAACAAGCATGGTGAAACCATTCCAATACGCTGCCTGGTCCACAGGACGGTGATCATTCGCGATGTTCGGGTCGCCCTTCTTGAATAAAACTAAAAGACGTGGTTTCTCCAGCTATTAGGCGGTTCTGCCTCTGGCTTGAGGATATCGTTTGAACATGTCCAGCACTAGACAGCGAAAACGTTGAGCACTGCATTTCAGCATTTCAGCCACCACGCCGAATTCATCCGAACACTTGCCAGACTTGAAACTAAACAGCGCAATGTGGCAATGTAATGGCGAAAGTGAACCGTGAAGGAAGCTGCTGTGATGATCGTGATTCCGCGCGGCATACAACGGATCGTAAAAACACGAAAGGACTTCTGCAATTTCGGTCTTCGAGACGTGCGTTACACCAGCTTCGTCGGCGATGCTGGCGGTATGCTCGTTCTTCTGAAGACGTCCTGTCTGAGGTAGCCTGGACAAACCATCAAATACCTTCCGAAATGGGTGAGGGGTATGCCGAGATGGATGCGGCGGACGCATGCGAAAGCAGTCGCTAGGGCTTCGGTGGAGCTCCCTATGGGGCCACGATACGTGTGAGGAGTGCCGAAATGGCTGCGGCGGATGCATGCGAATGCACCCACTTGGGCCTACGGTGGAACTCCCCATGGGGCCACGACGCGTGTGAGGGGTGCCGAGATTGATGCGGCGGGCGCATGCGAACGCAGCCACTGGGAACTTCGGTAGAGCTCCCTATGAGGCCACGAAACGCGTGAGGGGCGTGCAAAAAATTGACTCGGTGGGCGCATGCGAACGCAGCCACTGGGGCCGTCGGTGGAGCTCCCCATGGGGCCACGAAACGTGTGAGGTGTGTGTGCCAAAAAAGCATATGCGGCGGGTGCATGCGAACGCAGCCACCAGGATTTTCGGTGGAGCTCCCAGTGGGGCCACGAAACGTATGAGGGGTGTGCCATCATAGGTACGGCGGGACCATGCGAACGCAACCACCTGTGGCCTTCGGTGGAAATCCCTGTGGGGCCACGAAACGTTTGAGGGGCGTGCCGACATGATGCGGCGGATGCATGCGAACGCAGCCACTGCGGCCTTCGGTGGAACTCCCTAAAGGACTCCAGGAAACATGTGAGGGTGTGCCGAAATGGCTCCGGCGGGCGCATGCGAATGCACCCACTTGGGCCTACGGTGATGCGGCGGGCGCATGCGAACGCAGCCACTAGGAACTTCGGTAGAGCTCCCTATGGGGCCACGAAACGCGTGAGGGTGTGCCGAAATGGGTGCGGTGGGCGCATGCGAACGCAGCCACTGGGGTCTTCGGGGGAACCCCCTTATGCGGCCGCGAATGGGGTAATGGGTCACTATGGGGCCACGAATCGTGTAATGGGTATGCCGAAATGGTTGACCAGTGCGGAGGGAGAAGGCATGGATGGGAAGAGGGAGGACCAGGAGGAGGAAGCGGGAGGGAGGGACGCGGGGCGCTGTCTCTTCAAAACAGAGACCCACTACCACAGGATGGTTGGGAAAAACGAAGATCCACAGCGACGGGCCTGAAAACGCTCAAAAAACGCAGTTCATAATGCTTTAAAAGATAGGGTTGTTTTAATGTTTTAAGCTTGTCAAGAACCCAAAACGCCAAACAGTAGAATAAAGAAACGCCCAGTGCGTTTTCAACAAATACCAAGGTTTGTCCCCCCAGAAGTATTACCCTGGCCTGCCCCAAGCGTGAGACTCACCAGCAGCGGCAACTCACAGACTGGACACGATGCAATGCCTGGAGTGCACTCCAAGTCGGCAGGCGAATTGCCGGCAACCACTAGTGTTAAGTCGGGCCTGTCCCCCTACACGGACGAAAAATCAAAAATAGTCACAAAAATACCCTAAAATATTCAAAAATGGTCAGAAAATCGTCCCCGGACTATTTTTTTCAGATTTTTGAATATATTCCCCCTGAAGAGGGACAGGCCCAACGTAACACTGGTGCCGCGCTGCTCCAGACCCCACCCCCACCCCGTCCTCGCCCGCTGCCCCTCCTTCCCGCCCCAAGCACTGCATGAAGATGTAGTCCAGCACGGGGAGGCCGAGGCGAAAGGATCGGAGGCTGTTGCTTCGCGCCTGGTCGAGAGTCGCTCGATCCAGGAATAAGGCGGAGCAGAGGGCCACGAATTGGGCTCGAAGGCGCAGGCGGGCGAAAAGTCTCGCGGAAGCGACGGCACCGCGCGCGCACAAACCATGGCCTAGACTGGGCAACTGCGCTGCGCATAGCCCTCAATGGCCAGACGGCCAGATACATCTATAAACAAATATATACACACTTACATACAAATACGCATACACATACACTTACACACACACACACACACACAAAGACGTATACACATACACACCTTACACATACCAATACACATACACATGCCCATACACACAAACACACACACAAAACATACACATACACATACAGCTACATATACATATACTCATACATGTACATATACACAGGCACGTACACATACATACATATACATACACACATAGGTATACACATACGTATGTAAATACACATACACTTACATATGCACACACGTGTGCATCAAACATGTACACTCGCATAAACCTATACTTACACATGTACAGAGACGTGGACATATGCAAATACATATACTTGCACCTACACATGTCCATAAACGAATACACGTACATAGACACGTACATGTACGTGAATAGATACGCCTACTGACACGTACAGCCATGAATGTATAGATCCGCCGGCCCCCTTGTGGGGCCACCAGGCTGCGAGGCGCGTGATTCGCAGTTTCCTGTACCAGTTGTAGTTTGTAGTTTCCAGTGTTACAGTTCTGCTTCTTGCTGGTTACTGTAACTAATTGACTTCTTGCTGGTTACTGTAACTAGTTGATTGACCGCGCGAGGGGGGGGAGGCCCAAACGGGATTTTTAGCACCTCCTGGGCGCGTTGTCTGAATTGCTGGGGGGGCTCGAAATCGACACCCCTCACGCAGATCCGCGGGGTCAGGGTCCAAAAACACATGGGATTTGCCACATTTCTCAAAATTCGGTGCCACCCCTCACGCAGATCCGCGGGGTCAGGGTCCAAAAACACAGGGGATTTGCCACATTTCTCAAAATTCGGTGCCACCCCTCACGCAGATCCGCGGGGTCAGGGTCCAAAAACACATGGGATTTGCCACATTTCTCAAATTCGGTGCCACCCCTCACGCAGATCCGCGGGGTCAGGGTCCAAAAACACAGGGGATTTGCCACATTTCTGAAATTCGGTGCCACCCCTCACGCAGATCCGCGGGGTCAGGGTCCAAAAACACAGGGGATTTGCCACATTTCTGAAATTCGGTGCCACCCCTCACGCAGATCCGCGGGGTCAGGGTCCAAAAACACAGGGATTTGCCACATTTCTGAAATTCGGTGCCACCCCTCACGCACATCCATCGCAAGGCGTGGTAACCCAAACTGCGAGTACTCCCTCGGCCCTTTAATCCCAAGGTGTGGTAACCAAGCTCGTAAACCATACACGTCTTACCAATCGCCCTGTGTGGTAACCCCTCTTGTGATCAGTTGGTTTTGCCGATTGCGAATCGGCCTCGCATGAAGTTCCGATACTGCTGCACGACAGCGCCAAAGCCTCATGACTTAGATCTTCCATGGCCCATTCTCCGAGAGAGGGGGCTGGCGGCAGGGGGCGAAGCCCTTACGGATATACATATACATGAATACGTATGCCTAGTCGGTTGCATGTACATATACAGATACACATACATATACAGATGCCTCTACCTTAACAGATACATATACGTCTATATCTACATGTACGTAAGCATATACATATACCTATGCATTTGCGCAAACAAATACACCTACATCTACATGTACACCTACATATTACATATACATATAAATACACATGTACATACGCATGCACATGTCCAAATACGCTGGCACAAATAAATACAAATCAATATACAAGTGCATCTACATATTCGTACATGTACATATCATTGAACATAAACGTATTGCACATACACATCTACATATATATATATAGACATGGACATACACATATATGTATACACATGCAAACGCATGCAGTTACAGTTAGACGTACGCACATAAATGTATACATATACATCTGTATATGCCACCTACACGTACCCATACATATACACAAACATGATCGCATACAAATACCAATACATGTACATACACCTTTACACATCCATTAAATATACGTTTGCATGCACACGCACATTTACAAGTACACCTACCGATACACATACACATGATACCGGAGAAAAAGCCAATCATAATCTTTTGGGGGCTATAAGGCTATAGGGCTATATGGGCTATAGGGGCCCTGTAGCCCATATAGCCCTATAGCCCTATAGGGCTATATGGGCTATAAGGCTATAGCCCTATAATAGGGCTATTGGGCTAGAGGGTAATAGAGCTACACGGCTATAGTGCTATAGAGCTGTAGGGCTGTAGGGTACAGGGGTATAGGGCTATAGAATTATAAGACTATACGGCTATAGGGCTATAGGGCTATAGGGCTATAGGGCTACAGGGCTATTGGGCTATAGGGCTATAGGGCTATAGGGCTATAAGACACCCCTGGGCACCCGGGCACCCCCCGGGCACGACCGGGCACCCGGGCACCCGGGCACCTGGGCACCCGGGCACCCCCGGGCACCCGGGCACCCGGGCGTGCAGCGAAAATCGGCGACAAACCTAACATAACCATATGAATCCGCCAGGACCCCTACAGAGGCAAGCTCTGATTGGGGAATTCATTTGCGCATACATTTACATGTACATATACATGTACGTATGCATAAACGTGTACAAATACATATACATATTAATATGCATAACAAACACAAAAAACTATACATCTACATAGCCAGGCGCATATACATATGTATAGACCTATACATACGCATGTGTATATACATGGACATGTAAATACTACATACGAAGACCTAAACAACGGCATCTGCAACAACAAATACATCTACAAATGCAGATACGAAAACGGGTACATGCACGTATACATACACGTATATAAATACACGTCAACCTATGCGTGCACATATACATACACATATACCCGAACCTATACACTTACAGTACACTTGATGACACAAATACAAAAAAATGTACGTACACCTATCCCGACAAAAATCATTTACATATACATGTACATGTACAAAAATGTACATACATATCTACGTCGTCCTATACATATGCGTATACATACACATAAATACGTACGACACGCATGCACCTATGGATACAAAAAAACATACACACACCTATATATATGTATGTATAGACATGTATAACGGATGCCCATAAACATACACGTACACACATACATCTACACCAACATAATATACACATGCACGTACACACAAAAACATACAGATATGCATACGCATACAAATATATGCGCAATGTGTACACATACATAAATATACACACAAACACTTATAGTTATGCATGCATGTGTACCTGAACATGTACGGACCAGTTATATGTTGATATACATGTGATCGTACATGTGATCCATATATCTATGCATACACTCAAACCTGAACATATGCACATGTAGACGATATGCAAGTGTGTACATACACATACATGTACAAACGCATAAACATTGACATACACAAATACATATGTACAAATACTCTACGAACAGCGTTTGCCTTTAAAGTTTTATACGCACGTTCCAACAAATTGGGTTTGTCAGCCGGTCTGGCGGCTGTGGTCGCCGTCACCGCCAAGTCACCGCCGTTCGTCTGGGCCTGCGGGTCGGGTCCACCGCCTTGGGGTTGCCATCGCCGCCTCGTCGCCGCCCGTACATATATTCTTATAAATCAAATGAAATCACGATGTACCCCTTCCCCCCCCGGATTTAACGGGCGGTGTTTTCACAGTTTTTCGCGCGTGATTCTGCACACTCGTCCATCCGAAATGGGAACTCGCACCATCCCAAACAATCCGGTTATCGACCCCCCACGTCACCGCGGCCAAGTAGTGCTATGCACGCACATTCGCTTGTCAAACAACAGCAGCTTCCAAGAATCCCTTGGCAATTAGCTTGGCGAAGTACCCGACCATATGCAGTTATGGGCACCGTCGTTGTATGCACCGCATTCGGGGGAGCTCCTTATAGGGTCACGAAACATGTGAGGGTGCCAAAATTTGCGCGGTGGGCGCATGCGAAAGCAGCCACTGGGGCCGTCGGTGGAATTTCCTATGGGGCCATTAAACCTGGGCCGGCACGGAAACGGAAAGAGCGCTTCGACAACTTGACCGAAATTACTCACACCACCGTTCGTACTGGGAGCCTTGGCGTTGAGAGCTTGTTACGTCACCCCGCCCTCTGGGGAGCCTTGGTGTTCAGAGATTGTTGCGTTGCCGCCCGTTCCTGAGCCTTGGCTGGGCCTTGGTGTCAGGAACTTGTTACGTCATCGCTCCCTGCTGGGAGCCTTGGTCTTATCAGCTTGTTTACGTCACCGTTCGCTCTTGGGAGCCTTGGTGTGAAGAGCATTTTGCGTGACCGATCGCTCATTATTTGGCTTCTCTGAGCCTTCTTGGGGGTCCTATTGCGGCCCTTTTTGGGCCCCTTTGGGGGCCTCTTGGGGACCTCTTGGGGCTTCTTGGGGGTCTGTGGGGGCCTCCCAGGAGCGTCTTGGGGCGAAAGGCTTGACTTTCGGGTTCGTGGTCCCCCTTCTGGGGCCGTCTTGGGGCCCTCTTGGGCCGTCTTGGGCGCCTCTCGGGCCGTCTTGGCGCCCTCTGGGGCCGTTCTGGGGGCCTTTCGGGAGCCTCTGGGGCTGTCTTGGGGCGGTCTTGGGGACCTCTTGGACCGTCTTCAACGCCATGGAAGCCGAAAAGCCGTGTATGCTAAAAATGCACGCTCTCCTAAAGAAAATCTATGATTTGGGCCTCCTGATGGCCTCGTTGGAGCTTCTTTGGGGGCTGTGGGGGCCTCCCGGGAGCGTCTTGGGGCGATAGGCTAGACTTTTCGGTTCGTGGTTCCCCCTCTGGGGGCCGTCTTGGGGCCCTCTTGGGCCGTCTTGGGCGCCTGTTGGGCCGTTTGGGGGCCCTCTTGTGCCGTTTGGGGGGCCTCTTGGGAGCCTCTTGGGCCGTTTTGGGGCGGTCTTGGGGGCCTCGTGGGCCGTCGTCAACACCATGAAAGGCGAAAAGCCGTAGATGCTAAAAATATACGTTTGCCTCGGGAAAACCGATGATTTGGGCCTCTTGGGGCCCTCTTGGGACGCCCCTTGGGCGCCATTTGGAGGCCTCTTGGGGGCCTCTTGGGCCGTCTTGGGCGGTCTTGGGCTCTCTTGGAGCGCTCTTCGGCCGTCTGGAGGGAGAATCCGAAAAACATACAAAACCCCCATGGAAAAAAAAACAACAAAAAATGGGAGCCTGGGTCTTATCAGATTGTTTACGTCACCATTCGCTCTTGGGAGCCTTGGTGTGAAGAGCTTTTTGCATTACCGGTCGCTCTTGGCGTCTCTGGGCCTTCGTGGGAGTCCTAATGGGGCCCTTTTCGGGCCCTCTTGGGGGCCTCTTCGGGGCCTCTTGGGGACCTCTTGGGGCTTCTTGGAGGTCTGTGGGGGCCTCCCGGTAGCGTCTTGGGGCGAAAGGCTAGACTGTTGGGTTCGTGGTCCCCCTCTTGGGGCCGTCTTGGGGCCCTCTTGGGCCGTCTTGAGCGCCTCTTGGGCCGTCTTGGCGCCCTCTTGGGCCGTTCTGGGGGCCTCTTGGGAGCCTCTGGGGCCGTCTTGGGGCGGTCTTGGGGGCCTCTTGGGCCGTCGTCAACGCTGTGAAAGCCTTTCGGCCTGCTGTTTGCCTCCAGGGACGCCTTTTGGGGGCCTCTTGGGGCTTCGTGGGGGGCTGTGGGGGCCTCCCGGGAGCGTCTTGGGGCGAAAGGCTAGACTTGTCGGTTTGTGGTCCCCCTCTCGGGGCCGTCTTGGGACCCTCTTGGGCCGTCTGCGGCGCCTCTTGGCCCGTCTGGGGGCCCTCTTGGGCCGTTTTGGGGGCCTCTTGGGAGCCTTTTGGGCCGTCTTGGGGCGGTTTGGGGGGCCTCGTGGGCCGTCGTCAACGCCGTGAAAAGCGAAAACCCGTAGATGCTAAAAATATACGTTTGCCTCGGGGAAATCGATGATTTGGGCCTCCTGGGGCCCTCTTGGGACGCCCCTTGGACGCCTCTTGGGGGCCTCTTGGGGGCCTCTTGGGACGTCTTGGGGCTGTCTTGGGCGGTTTTGGGCTCTTCTGTGGGACGGAAAGAAAATGAAATCCGAAAAACATACAAAAACCTTACGGAAAAACCCAAAAATAGGGCCATTAGACGTGCCCCCGGCCCTCGCCCCTCCCTTGGGTTCCCCCAAGGGCTTCGCCCCAAGTCAACGGAACTCACTCGTACCTCGCTCTTTCCGTCACGTGTGAAAGGTATGCCGGAATAAATGCGGTGGGCGCACGTGAACGCAGCCAGTGGGGCCGTCGGTGGAGCTCCCTATAGGGCCGCGAAGCGTGCGAGGGGTGTGCCGACATGCGTGCGGCGGGCGCATGCGAACGCAGCCACCGGGGCCGTCGGTGGAGCCCCCTTTATGGGGCCACGAAACGTGTGAGCGGTGTACCAAAAATAAATCGGTGCGCGCATGCGCACGCAGCCACCAAGGCCGTTGGTGACGCTCCGTATAAGGCCACGAAACGCGTGAGGGTGTGCCAAAATGGGCGACGTGGGTGCATGCGAACGCGACCACTGGGGCCGTCGGTGGGGTTCCCTACGGGGCAGCGAAACGTGTAAGGGGTGTGCGGACATGCGTGCGGCGGGCACATGCGAACACAACTACCGGGGCCGTCGGTGGAGTTCCCTGTGGGGCCACGAAACGTGTGAGGGGTGTAACCAAAAAAATGCGGTAGGCGCATGCGCACGCAGCCACTGGGGCCGTCGGCGAAGCTCCCATAGGGCCACGAAACGCGTGAGGGTGTGCCAGAATAGGCGACGTGGCCGCATGTGAACGCAACCATTGGGGCTGTCGGCGGGGCTCCCTATGGGGCCGCGAAGCGTGCGAAGGGCGTGCCAAAATGGGTGCGGCGTGCGCATGCGAACGCAGCCACTGGGGCCGCCGCTGGAGCTCCTTATGGGGCCACGAGATGGGAGGGTGTGCCAACATGGGTTCTGTGGGCGCATGCGAAGGCAGCCATTGGGGCCGCCAGTGGAGCCCTCTTTTATGGGGCCGCGAAACGTGCGAGAGGCGTGCCAAAATAGGCGCAATCGGCGCATGCAAACTATGGAGCCACGAAACGCGTGCGGGGCGTGCCAAAAATGGACTGTGTGAGCGCATGCAAACGCAGCCAGTAGGGCCGTCGGCGGAGCTCTTTTATGGGGCCACGAAACGTGCAAGGGGCGTGCCAAAAAAGGGCGCGGTGGGCGCATGCGAACGCAGCCACTGGGGCCGACGGTGGGGCTCCCTATGGGACCGCGAAACGTGAGAGGGGTGTGCCGAAATATGCGCGGCTGGCGCATGACGAATACAACAACTGAGGCTGTCGATGGAGCTCCCTATGGGGCCGCGAAGCGTGCGAGGGGTGTGCCAAAATGGGTGCGGCGGACGCATGCGAACGCAGCCACTGGGGCCGTCGGTGGAGCTTCCTATGGGGCCGCGAAACGTGTGAGGATGTGCCCCCCAAAAAAAGAGCACGGTCGGCGCATGCGAACGCAGCCATTGGGGACGTCGGTGGAGCTCCCTATGGGGCCGCGAAGCGTGCGAAGGGCATGCCACCATGGGCGCGGTGGGCGCCTTTGGAAGAGCTCCATATGGGCCACGAAACGCGTGCGGGGCGTGCTCATCATGAACTCGGCGGGCGCATGCGAACGCAGCCACTGGGGCCGCGGGTGGGGCAAACGTGCGAGGGGCGTCCATCGCGGCCGCGTCGGTCGCGCCAGACTGGCTGGCCGCTCTGCACGCGAGCCTGCGCGCGCTAGCGCGGCCGCAGCGATGCGCCATTCAGCGCCAAGCAGTCATCGCAATGGCCGCCACACGGGTTCTGCAAACCAAATTGCGGAGGAGTGGGTGGAATGATTGCGCGAGCAGTGGAGTTTACAACTTCAGCTCCGGCAGAGTGAATTACACCACATAGATTGCACCACAAATATTGCGCACCAGATGGAGTGCACCACATAGATTGCACCACACAGTTAGCATCACATAGATTCCACCACATGGATTGCGCACCGAGTACTGCACCACATAGATTGCACAACATAGATTGCAACACATAGATTGCAACACATATATTGCAAAGGTCACGACCAGAAATATGAGTCATTGATTGGCCATGGGTGCCGTCGCAACCGAGCCGTATAGCTGCGGTCCCACCACGATGACCAGAACGGCGGAAATGCCACGCGCAGGGTGTACACCGACGCTGGCACGACTCCCCAGAGGGTTGCCTTCTTCAGAACCTAGCTAACCACGACAGGTCTGCTGCATGCGCCGCTCGTTGCAGCCCCACTTCGTGCAGTCTTCGAAGCGGGACCAGGCCACGAGGTTCCTCTCTGGCCCCGGCTCGAAGATGCCGAAACGAACCCCGGGGAACCCGCTGCTCCTGGCGGGTGGGCACTCTGTCTGCGTCCATGCGAACGCCTTGGTGGCAGAATGGTCGCACCTGAGGCGCTTTTCTCTGTACAGCCGGAGCTGCTGGCGCGGTCCACAGCCAAACTGGAGCGTCGTCGAGTTTTGGAGGTCCACCCATGGGCAGCTGCGAGCCACGAACGCTGTCATCCCGTCAAGCATGGTTTTGGTGCCCATCCACCACTCTGGAAGATGGAACGGCTCTGCGTACCACTGTAGGATCGCATCTAGAACGAACCGCATCACTTCGCTGCCAGGCTCTGCCGCGAACAGAGCATTCAGAGCATAGCAAGTCACGTCGAACGTGGTCATGAAGGTCGTAGAATCATCTGCCAACTGGGAGAGGGGAACGCGAAACTGCACGTCCAGGTCCGCGTAGAAGCCGCCCTCCAGCGCGATCACCGCCGCTCTGCAGATGTCGCCCCGGTAGGCTCCCCTCTGCTCCGAGTTGAACGCGGGGAGCAGCCGCTCGAAATGGAGCGCGATGAAGTCCCTGCACTCTGCGTCGTTGAGGAACCGCACCTGCAGCCCGGGGTTCAGGGCCAGCGTCCGGCGGACATTGTCCCCCATCCTCTTGGGCAGGTCGGCGAGGGACCCGTTCTTCGCCGTCAGCACGAGCTGGAACGGCACCTTGGCCTCCACTGACATGGGAGGCGCCGGTGTCGGCGCGGGCTTCGCGGAAGGATCCAGGGGTACAAAGACCGGGGGCGGCACAAGCTCTGCAGCTACCTGCATCGCTGCCGAACGATGAGAAGGCTGGGATACGTCCATCAGCGCCAACACATGCGCTGACAAACAAGCCATAGCCAAAGCTGGGTGTCTCATCATGCTCGATATGGAAAGTAAGTTAATGGCGTGTAGTCGTAATCGTCTGAATTGCACCTGAAGGGCTACCCTGAAGGGCTTGCAGGCAAATGCATTGATCCAAACGGGTTACAGAACATATCAAGTCAGGATTTAGCAGGATTCAGCGGGATTATTCCAGATTAAACAGTATGCCGCGCCAATGCTAAATTTAAGCTCCCAGGAGTTGCATCCCAAGCATTGCTCCAACCGCCCTGCAACCTAACAGTGCCGCGCTGGGGTACCAGGGCACGGCCTTGGAGGACGGAACCTGCCTGCGGCCAAGATCCGCCGCGGGCTCGTCAACATCACCGAACTCGACGCCGCACAACCTCACCAACGACGCAAGTATCATCGGAGCATGAAAACGTGAAGTGCCCAGGATGCCGAGCAAGTAAAACGGTACGGGAGCCTCTCACTGCGCACCCTGCGGAGGCCTGCGAAGACCACGCGCAACCTCCACGAGAGCAAGAGCAGGGGCATCTGCAGCGCAGGGACTGCAGCGCAGGGATGACACGCTTGTCTGGGGAAAGAAGGGTCGAGGCTGGCCGATGTCCTTCCTCGCTCTAAGCAGTCTGTGGCCCCGAAGGCGACGCCGCGGGGCCCCGGAGGGGCCCCGCTGCTCGCTGCTCGGAGGGCGGGCCACGGGGCCCCCTGCGGCGTCGCTATAAACAGCGCAGGGACGACGGCAACAACAACAACAACAACAACAACAACAACAACAACCACAACGACGACAATAAAATCAAGACTGTTCGCTCCGATCTGCTCACGTGCCAACGAATGGGTATGTCCCAAGCCCTCGGTACCCGCCCTCGTCGTCTTCGATTGTACCCCCTTGGGGGTACGTCTTCCTTGCCTGCCACGTGTGTTTAGTGCAGCCCCTAAAACAGGGGAAGAGAGGACGGGCGGAAGGGGGAGGGAGAAGAATGGAGCACGAGAGAAATTAGCAGGAGGGGCACAAGGAGCAGAAAACAAGTGGTAGAACCAGACGGGCAGATCGGGTGGGCAGACCCATAGCAGGCAGGTCGGGAAGGCAGGCCCAGGCGACGAGGTCGAGCAGGCGGGTTGCTGAAGCGTGGGTCCTGCATGAATCGTGAGAAAAGCCAGCGTGGGCCACGAAGGGCGTAAAATCCGAGGCCACAGAGGGCGGCGACGGGGCCGCTGAGGGTAGCACCGGGGCCACGAAGTGCAGCGAGGGGGCCACAAAGGGCGACAGCGGGGCCACATGCATATGGGGCCACGACGGGCGCGAGAGAGCGGGGGCCACGAAGGGTATTCGTATACGGGGCCACAAAGGGCGACAGCGGGGCACTGAGGGCAGCAAAGGGGCCACGAAGGGCAGCGAGGGGACAACGAAGGGCGACAGCGGGGCTACGAAGGGCATGCATATGGGGCCACGACGGGCGCGTGCGAGCGGGGGCCACGAAGGGCATATAATGCGGGGCCACAAAGGGCAGCGACGGGGCCACTGAGGGCAGCAACGGGGCCACGAAGGGCAGCGAGCGAAGGCGACCGCGGAACCTGTACGGGCAGCGAGGCGCATCAGAGGCGGGCGAAGGGCAGCGAGCGGCGACTGCATTCATGAACTGGCTGGTCGTGAAGGGAGGCCCCGACGGGCGGGTCGAGCGGGCGGGTCGTAGAAGCGTGAGTCCTGCTTGAACGGCCAGGCAAGATGTAGCGGGAGCGCGATTCCTGAGTGTCGAGGACCAGCATCTGAATAAAGTGTTAGGAAATATCAAGCGAAGCGGTTCGGTGGTAATTTGCGAGGATGTCCCAAGCGAGAACGCGATTCGGCAATAAATTGTCAGGAAGTATCAGGCGGGAGCCGCGATTCGGCGGTAAATTGCCAGGAAGTCCGAAGCGACAGCGCGATTCTTCAACCAATTGTAAGGAAGTATCAGGCGGGAGCCGTTGTTGTGGTAAACCGGGGGCCAACGACACAGTTTGACCCTCAAGACTTTCCTTGGACAAAAAAACAGGGTGCCAGCCCCAGGAAGGGCACTTCAATCGAAAAAATACCATGTGTACCGGGCGGGGGGGGCAACAATACATATTCTTCAGAAAATAAAAGTTCAGCAACAGCAACAGCAACAGCAACAACAACAACAACAACAACAATTACTAGCACGTGGGGACACACCGTTCTCACCAGTGCCAGGGTTTTCATAGGAGGCGGGCAATACCCCCACTTTGTGGGGGGGCCGGTTCAAGCTCTACCAAATTTCCAAACGACTCTTCGCCACCACCCACACCCAGCTTCCCGCCCTATGACGTTCGGACACTTCACTTCGTGGCATGCGGACGACCGTGGCTACTATTCAGGGCCCCGCGGCCGACGACGACGGCGTGCGCGCGCGAAGAAAAAACGAATGTGTCCCGCATGGTATTATTTGACAGGGATGATGGCCCTGGCAGGTGCGCAACCGTTGTCGCAGAAGTTCGAAAAAGTTGCTCGCAAAAGCCCGTTTGACAGAAATGTTTAAAAAGTGTTGGGTTTCCTACGAATCCGCAAGAGCGCGCGGGATGAGATTTTGACATTTTTTTGTTGAAAAACCATTGGTTTTTTGATGTTTTTATGTTAAAATCGCTCCGAACACTAAGCTTTTGGAAGGATTTCGTCTTGCGCGCGCGAATGTCCACTTTACCTTATTTTTTGCAAGGGATTCTTGAAATTTGATTATATTAGAACAAGAAATGTCATTTTATAGTGTTTTTTGCAAGGGAAAGCGGGGGGGAACAAAACAACCGGATCTTGATCACATCGAATTACCTGAGGCTTCCTCACGAAAATGATGAAAATGTAGCTGCGGCCTAGGCGGCGCAGGGGGGCCGTGCACCAGGGGCCCCAACAATAATTATTCTTTAGAATTAATAATGTTCAACAACAACAACAACAGCCACAACCACAACCACAAACACAAACACAACCACAATCACAACAACAACCGAAAGAAATAAAGAAAACGAAAACTACAACAAAAACAATAACAACGACACCAGCAACAACAAACACCACAACAGAGACAAATAAAACAACATCAGCAACAAAAACAACAACAACAACAACAACAACAACAACAACAGCAACAGCAACAGCAACAGCAACAATAAAAACAACAACCACTTCAAGACTGCTCGATATGACCTGCTCGCTTGCAACTCAAGACGTAGGTCCTAAACACTCGATACCCGCCCCCCTCGTTTTACATCGTAACCCTTTTTAGGGGTGTATCGTTATTACCTGCAACGTGTATTTCGTGCAGCCTCTAAGGCAGGGGAAGAGAGGACGAACGAAACGAAGGGACAATGGGCAGGCGGGTTGCTGAAGCGTGCGCCCTGCATGAGTCGCGAGAAAGTCTCGAACGATAGCGCGATTCCCACGGAAAGAGCGAGAAAGGCCAAAGAGAGAGCGCGATTCCTGAGCGTCGACGGCGCGGCGCTTGAATCAATTGCGAGGACGTCCCACGCGAGAGCGCGCTTCCTGCACATGTTGTAAAAAAATCCCGGGTGAGAGCGCGATGTTGGAATAAATGTTGAGGAAATATCAGGCGAGAGAAGTTGTTGTAATTGTAAAGTGGGGGCCACAGGCGCAGTTTGGTGACCGCAAACTTTCCCTGATGAAACCAAGGTACGAGCCCTAAGAGGAGCGCTGGAATACATCCCCAGGCCGAAAGTTTTCTCCTCTTGCATGGGAACGCATGGAACCATTTGGATCCAATTACGTGTGTGCGAGAGTCACGTGGATCCAATTTCCGTGTCTTCTGGATCTATTTGTTGGCGTGGAAGCCTCGTGGATCCAATTCTTTTGCTGGAATAAATCTATATATAATAATGATTACTACAAGGGACCCAAGGGGAAATGGATCCACGGACCCGGCCAACTCCCGCAGCCTCCATAACATGTGGGTGTTCGAGCGCCACAGCGGGCCTGACCAACTTCCGCAGCCTCCCATAACATATGCCGCACCCCACCTCGACGCGAGCGCGATATGATCGTTGCGTCCGCATCCGCTAAAGACAACGAGACTTCGAATTTGTCATCTGGGCCTCAAGAGGAAAATCTTTCGGCCTGCTCAAGTGAGGTTTTGACCTCCGTCTCCCCCGCCAACACGTGCAGCGTTGTCGCCGACTCCCCCATTCGGCCCGACACTGCATGCGGCATCATTCGCGCGCACACGGAAGCACCGCCGACGAACTGACACCCACTGAGAACATCGAGCGAAGCACGAGGACGCGATACCTACAAGAATCTGTGCGGCATGCTACGTGTACTGTGCAACCACCGCCCCTGTGCTGAAGGGCAGAAGGGGCGCAAAACTCTTCTTCCCCAGGCCGAAAGTTTTTCCTCTTGAATGGGAACACATGGATCCATTTGGATCCAATTACGTGCTTGCGAGAGTCACGTGGATCCAATTTCCGTGTCTTCTGGATCCAATTTTTTGGCGTGGAAGCTTCGTGGATCCAATTCTTCTGCTGGAATAAATTCGAAATAAAGATTACTACAAGGGACCCAAGGGGAAATGGATCCACGGAGCATTGGACCTGCAGCCCAAGCTATCATTCCACGAGGGAGGGGTTTCCCTACCGAGAGACACAACACACGGGGACGAGTAGGGAAACACAAACCCAAGTCGGGAGCTCGAGCGCCACAGCGGGCCTGGCCACCTCTCCGAACCCCTCCCATGACATGTCGTTGATCGAGCGCCACAGCTGCCCCGGCCAACTCCCGCAGCCTCCATGACATGGTGGGTGTTCGAGCGCCACAGCGGGCCTGGCCAACTCCCGCAGCCTCCCATAACATATGCCGCACCCCACCTCGACGCGACGAACACCACCAACACCACAAGAATGTTCGCTCTCACCTGCACGCGTACAAGTCAACACGTATATCCCAAACCCTCGATACCCGCCCTGTGCGTCTTCGATCGTATCCCCTTAGGGGTGATCTTGCTTACCTGCAACGTGTATTTCGTGCAGCCCCTGATGCAAGGGAAGAGAGGACGGATGGAAGGGACCTGGGGCAGGCGGGTTGCTGAAGCGTGCGCCATACATAAGTCGCGAGGACGTCTCAAGCGATAGCGCAATTTCCAAATAAATCGTGAGGAACACCACAGCGAGAGCGTGATT